TCATTCCTCTCTGTCCCTCCATCTCACAGGAATATTGGTAGTGACAGCTTCTATAATAATAATAAATAACAACAACAACAATAACACCAATAATAATGATAAAAGAATATACAAAACAAGTGATGCACAGCACAATTGCTCACCACCCACAGACCACCGATGCCCAGCTAGTTCCCGAGCCACGGTCTAAGCCCCTGTCCAGCTTCCCCCCAGTTATATACTGAGCATGATGTCATATGGTATGGAATATCCCTTTGGCACATTGGGGTCAGCTCTCCTGGCTGTGTCCCCTCCCAGCTCCTTGTGTAGCCCCAGCCTCCTCGCTGGCGGGATGGTGTGAAAAGCCTTGGTATAAACATCATCCAGCAACAAACAAAATGTGTTATCAACATTATTCTCACCCTAAATCCAAAATGTAGCACTATCCCCACTACCAGGAAGAAAATTAACTCTGTCCCAGCTGAAACCGGGACAAGCATCTAGAAATATATAAAGGGAGACACCACGGTATCAAGGTAATTAGCTTGTTAGGCAGGCTTTCCTGACGCTGCTGGGGAATTGCACTGCTACGGCTCTTGCATTGCCTCCACCATCAGCGTTGGCAGATGGATGAGCTCCGTGGGCTTGCCTGGACCTGCAGGCAGGTTTGGGCTGGAGCAGGCCACTTCTGACACCGTACCCCAGTGCTGGTCTCCTTGGGAGCGAGAGGAAAGGGGTGCTCCACGTAGGGACTGGTTGCTAATCACATAGCTCGTTATTTCCGTGGCTTTTGCAGAACTTCGCAGGGCTGCGAGGATGATGAGGGGCCTCTGGTGTGAGGAAAGGCTGAGAGAGCTGGGGCTGGTTGGCCTGGAGAAGAGAAGACTGAGAGGGGATCTGATCAACACTTATCAATATCTAAAGGGTGGGTGTCTAGAGGAAGGGGCCAGACTCTTCTCAGTGGTGCCCAGTGACGGGACGAGGGGCAATGGGCACAAACTGGAACAGAGGAACTTCCATCTGAACATGAGGAAAAACTTCTTCCCTCTGCGGGTGACCGAGCGCTGGGACAGGCTGGCCAGAGAGGTTGTGGAGTCTCCTTCTCTGGCCTGGGCACCATCCTGTGCGACCTGCTCTGGGTGATCCTGCTCTGGCAGGGGGTTGGACGAGATGATCTCCAGAGGTCCCTGCCAGCCCCAACCAGTCTGGGATTCTGTGAATCTGTGAACTGGGGTAAGCTGGCCCTGCAGGTCTCCTCCATGGGACTCTGTCCTGTCTAGCCTGTGCTCACCAAGACAGGGCTTGGTGCCATTTGGAACTGAGTGGGGGAAATCTAGCGCTTAGGGAAGGCACTGAGGCTGAGTGCAGGCTGTTCAGTACAGAGCCCACGATGGGCTTAGGCTCCTGCTCCAGCTGGAGAGAGGACAGAGCCATTTTCAGATACCTGCCATCCTGCCCGATGTAGGTGCCCGTCCAGACTCCCGCAGTCGCGCTGAGCGCTGTCCTGGCCCAGGTGAGACCCCAGCCATGATACTGGGGAGGCTGAAGGCTGCTTCCGCCTCTGCTGCTTGGAAAAGCACTGCAGCGATTCCACGGGGGCACGAAACCTTGTGACACCCTACGGGCTCTGTCTCACGGACTGCTGCCTAGCTCTGTGTCTGCACGGCGGGTTCCTGGGGAGCCCCGGCTGCACCCCGAGAGGCGAGTGTGCGAGGCCGGGATGTGGCAGGATGAGGTTGCTGGCCAATACGGCAGAGGCAGCTGCTCGTCAGCTGCACCCACAAGTGTGGAGCAGACGCTCCCCTCGAGAAAGCCAGCAGGCTTTGAGACGTGGCCTTTTTGGCCCGTGCCGGTATTTGAACAGTGACATCTATTAGCTGAAACACCCTTCTGTAAACAAGGAGCTGGAAGTGCTAATTGAGGCACCACGTAGAAAGCGTTCATTGGAAGTGCTAATTGAGGCACCACGTAGAAAGTGTTCACGTAGGATTGCAACAAAAAACGAAGGACAACTACTAGTTTGGTGTGCATAAAAGCTAATTTAAATCGGAGATGGCTTTTGCTGAAAGAATTTAATTTCATTTAATTAACAATAACAAAGAAATCCCAGTTCTTATTTCACCCTGAATGAAACTGTCTGAAGAAGACATCTATCTCCCCTTGGCCAAGTTCTGTGCTTCCATCCTGCTAATACCTATGGGATTACCTGTCCTTCAGTCCATCGTATTTTATTTAATGTGAGCAGCTATTGCAGGTGGGCTCGGAGATGGGATACCCTGACTCTGGAATTGCTTGCCTGTTTGCGGTCGGGTGGACTCCAGTTGCGAAAGGTGCCCCTAACATCCTCCACGGCTGTGCCTCGGGGGTGGCACAGCGCTGCCAAGTCCAGCGTGTCCCCTCCGGAGCAGGGGCCAGCTCAGCCCTTAGCACAGAACTTGGGTCGAGGAGCGTTTGCTGGCCAGGTGGCTCCTCGCAGGCTCGCTGCTCATGTGCTTTGCCACTTAGAGAGGCAGCCAAGGTCCCCCACGGTCCAGCTTTTAGCACCAGCACAAAGTGCGAGGCGGTCCCTGCCCGGGGAGGTTCCTCTGAAACAGAAAAAGGCAGATTTGAGTCACAGTCCTGAGTCTGGGGCCTGGAGAGGTGAGCCGGCTCCTGGCAGGGCTGAAGGCTGGACCGGATGCACAAATTGCATCCGTGCCGTCGCCAGCAGACAGCCGGTCCCAGGCCTGCTCCCCAGCACGGCATCGGAAGGGGCTGCCCGGGCCAGGCAGGAGGGCTGGGGGCTCCGCTCTCACTCCTGGGGTGCAGCGGGAGGCTTTCCAGGCCAGCCCCGTCCCAGGAGGCCCCGGGGAGCTGCATGCTGCACAGCTGCACACTGATGCTCTCCTTGCCTTTCGCTCTCACAGAACAAAGTCAATTTTGTAGATGACAGTTTCCACCCTGGGCCTAAGTCTGTGGGATTCCCGGAAGGCGACAGCGTGCAGCAGAGGGTGAAACAGTGGCTGCGACCCCACGAAATCAACTGTAGCATCTTCAAGGACCGATCGGTGAAGTGGTCGGTGTTTCGGACACCCAGGCCCTCGGACATCCTGCAGGGACTGCGGGGAAACTGCTGGTAAGGGGGAGCGAGCCGGGCTGACACCCTCCTGCCCCTTTCTCCTTTCCCCCTCCCCTTCCTCCAGCTCCGGATCAGACCCCTCAGCCCTACTCAAACCCATTTATACCCCCAGGCGTGTACCCCATCCTCTGCCTCACCCCTTACCAAGCGGCTGCGGACCGCAGTTCCCTGCGCCGCGCGGCTGGGCAGCTGCCTGCTGCCTGCCCGTGCCTCGCTGAGACCGTCCCGCGTC